GCATAACTTAGTTAAAAGAAAGATATTAAAGGTGACAAGACAAAATATATTTTGTCAAAATTCTTTTTAACTTATGATCTCCAAGAAAAAGGTGATATTAATGTTCAACAAATTCGTTCAAATAACAATCTAGTAGGTTTATTCATCAAAGCCCTTCCTACTACAATATTTGAAAAATTGGTATATAAGATTGGAATGCGTCGTTTTAAAGATTTTAGATAATGCAGTCATCGGAGTAAAATACGCAATGTACTCTTTTTCTTTATCAAGTTTTTTCCTACTATGTTTTTTTGGATAAGGTTTGTAATGAGGCAATATTTCAAAAGTGTATTTTTAAAATGAAGTATGTACTCTTTTTCCTTTTACTCAGTTTTTTTTTCATAAGGTTTTTTCTAGTAAAGTTTTAATGAGACATATTCTTAATATAATGGATATTCAAAAGGAAGTGTTAGGAATATATATATATATATATGAAAATATCTATTATGTTACGACTCAAGAATTCATATTAAGCCAAATAGTCGAGATAGGCCAAGTAGTCTAATAGGCCGAACATAGGAGTGTAATTTAATTTGAACTCTTAAATTTAATTATATATATCTAGATTTATATATAGATTAGTTTGAATTAAAATTTAGATTTAATCCATCCAAATTAAATTTCTTAACATTATCTGAATTTAGTAACCCATAAATAAAACCCTTACATTATTTATAAATACAAATAAAAATATTTTTACTTTATTAATACATTTTTCTCATACTTGTTCTTTCTTATTATATTTCATAATAAAATCATTATTACTCCAAATCAAACTGAAATTGGTCTTGTAAATTGCAATATGTCGTTTTTATGTTGATAAAAACATTTTATGGTTAAAATGGGATATAGAGGGTTTGGTGGCTCCTGTCTAGACCTGAGAAATGAGAACAAAGACAAGAGATGGAGCATCAACTACGAAGCATTTTCCAACATGAGATTCTGAGCATTAATAATATTAAAGGATAGAAGAGGCCCTCGTCGTCGCACATTTCCCTTTCTTTATCTAATGGGAAGCCTGAATTGACTCTTTCTCCCACATTCTCATGCCCTGGGTTCTTTACACATTATCCCGATTTGTGCTGGTCAAAGGAAATTCCCATCCCACCTTTCTGAATACAAACGCCATCCACTTCCCTTCTCCAGACACAGCCTATCGGAGAAATCGAAAAGAGGCCCATTGTTGCTGACCTCACTGCCAGCCTCCCAAGTTATTTCCATACAAGTAATCGGTACTTTCTCTCTTCGATTCTCTCCCTTTCATTTATTGTTTAAAATTTTGAGACCAAGTACTAATTATTAATCCCCATAGTTAATGTCAGACAGGGTGGTTGTTGGTGTAGTTCTCTTTAGACTTGGTGACCCCTTCGTCCATAAACAGACTACGAAAACAGGAAAAGGAAGGAGTATTTAAAGAGTATGAGAGGGACTAGGAGAGGGACTAGGAGAGGGAATAAAAAAGGTTAATAACTCTTCTTTGCTGTATCTTCTGTTTAGTGATTTGTCCCATGAGCATATGTAGGAGCCACCACCATCAATCAAGGGGACTTACTGTTGATATAAATGGGTCTCTAAATCTTTTTCCCGTTTTTAAATTCATCTATTTATTACGTGACATTATTATAATTCTGATTTTGATGACAAGTTTTAGGTGACAAGGTCGGTTGGTGAGTGTGGCCTAATCGTCAATAATGATTATATGAAACCTCTGAAAGTCTCATCATTATTTGCACCTCCACAACAATATTTTTTAGGGACCCCCCTGAAAATAACGTTAAAAGTTCATTATTTTTTAATCTTGCTCTTTTCCAATTGTGTTCATTTGTTTGAATCTGTCTGATAAAGCAGGGGAGTGAATTGAACCCGAAGAGAAAAACCCATGGCTGGAAGATTTAGTAAGTGTATGCTGCTATGTTGTTCGGCAAAGGTCTCGGTAAGATCATATCTCGCTTTTGCATTAATCCTTTCTTACCAATTGTAAATGTTTTTTGGCACTTCAATTTCATTTTGGATGCGTCCTAATACAAATCATTACACATATAATTAGATAAATTTAATATAAAATTGGATTAAATCTCAAATTCACATTTGATGGAACTCGAGATAAGGCCTTATTGACAATGACAGTGACAAGATATTATTTGGCAATGTTAGGAGTCAATTTTTGAAATGCTGGTAATTAAGTTTGATTTTCTTTGTTTTTGAAATTCATTTTCTTCACACAAAGACAAGTAGTCATCTCTTCAACTTATTACTATTATTATTCAAAGATTAGCAAAATGTTGAGACTGGAAAACAGTTTTTAAAACATCAAACAAGTCTAAGCGGGCGATGGCAAATATATATAAAACTATTCATGTTAGGGTATAATTTCCATAGACAGCTCACCAAGCCCTTTTATATTTGCAATAATTAAAACTGTTTTAATTAAAAAATAAATAAATTAGTGGCAAAAGTAATTAAGAGTGCAAATAGTAAACTTGAGAAGGACCAAGAATTTTGCGATTGTGAAAGTGAGCCAATGGTCATGCACTGGCACTGCAACTTCAGAAATTAACCTTTGTGGAGCAGGCTTTTCTTAAATTCAACCCTTGGGAGCATCCTCTGGGGTAGGGCTGAACTGGTTTAGAAAGCTTAAGGAGGATCGCTGCAATTGGTTAGAAGGTTGCAGTGGAAATACGTAAATATCTGATCTCATTTGGATTAGAAATTTGGACCACTCGATTGGAGAGAATCATAACGGCCATATACTTTTTGGTCTATGGGTTGCATTCCAATATTACCACAGTACTGTGAGAAATATATGGCCATGCATATGCATAGGTCCATTTTTGAAGCTTGGTTCAGAATTGTCCTCATTAATTATATTCCTCACTGCCAGTGGTGGTGCTGGAGAAGTTAGCATCGAGGGAAATATTTCAGTGCGAGTAATGGGACATAGAAACCACTTTGTCGCTTCTCACATCTAAATAATGATAAGGCAAAGACAACTTTTAACAATTTTTACGTTGAGATAGCTAGTGGAGTCTGTACATGCACCAATCATTGTTAAACTCCACTTTCATTAGAAAGAATGTATTTATTATATAAATAGGAATATTTGAGGAAAATTCATAAAATTATACAAAATTTAAATCAAATCATAAGAATTATATTATTAACAAAGATAAATATTGTGATTTGCCTTTATTATAAATTAAGGTATGAATTGCATTTTCGGATTTGATTTAATTTTATCTCCTTTTAATTTGTTTTTGAATTTCAAATTATTAAAAAAATTTATCAAAATTTCCCTTTTTCACTAGCATTTTTTTCTCTTTCATTCTACCACAAATTCGTTATTTTTAAAAGGAAAATAGTTTTTTAATAAAAAAATATGATTATGTTTTATGAAGCTTTATTTTCAATCTTAATAAATAATGATGGAAAATTTTTTGTATTACCAAAACTATTAACACCATCTACATAAATATAAAATGCTTGTAAATTTGTTTGGCTGAACCTCGATCGGTGCAAAATCATTCCATGATGACGTGTACGTCCCGACTGACCGAGTTGCCAGCTAACTCACCAAAGCTAGCTAACAAAGGCCATTTTCCGTTACTAAAAATTAATGAAAATATATTTCCATTACTTTTATCATAAACTGATATATGTATTTTAAAAAAAAAACTAAAATCAAGATTGTATCCACTTCATTTTTAATTAATTTTCATCTATGTTTTTACTCAATTTAAGGCTATTAAAATTTAAATCATAAATTGCTTGAATGCATGTCTATCACCATCATTAGTGAAGAAATAGACATCTTCAATATTTTTTAATAAAAAAGGGATTCTAGCTGAGAAAAAAACCCTCTCTACTATTTTTGGGTAGTGGAGATATTCATTATTTTATTATTGATTGACACACACAGTTTTAAGAAACATACAAGATCAAAATTCATCTACATCATTTTCTCTTTTCTAGTTAATTTTTATCTATCTTAAAGGTAGCAGGATCAACCATCTTCCTTCAAGCACTCAAAATAAGACTCTAGTTGACCAGGGGTTAGTACTCCATTTAAGTTTGAGAACAAATCCTCCATTGCTGTTAAATAAATAATAAATAAATCAAAGCCTTTGAATACTAAGAGAAGATAGAAAAGGAACAATCAGAAAATTAAACCCTTTAAAGAAACAGTCAGCCATCTTCTTTCTTATATTTCTGTGTCCTACCCTTTTTTTTTTTAATTCAATAATGCAAAGTCATTTTTCTCACATGTACACTCAATTGTATTTGACGCAAGATATTGGACATACTATTTTAGTAAAAATATTATTATTATAGTAGTCTTTGAAGTAAGGTTTTGTGGATGAACTTAGGGTACCCTTTAAAGTTACCCAATTAAGTAATGTATTGTCTTAATAAACTTGAAAATTTTAGTTATGAGATATAAAAATGGTTAAATAATAAAAGTCTAAATTATTAGTTATGAGATATAAAAAATTGTTGTTGTATTGCTTCTATTTAATTGTTAAATCACATACAACTTGATAAATTATGACAATATCATATTCAATAAAATTGTCTAAACCTTCGACGGGAGATGAATCTAAGCCGTAGTTGTAGATGCGTGGATAATACCAATAAAAAATCATTAATCATCAAATAAATGAACTTTTTCCTTTGACCAAAATATAAATAACACTGTAGCCTAATAAAGAATCATTAATAAATTAATCAATTTCAGTTGTCGTCACCTTCGCAAATCCCACCACGTGGCGGCCCTTGCACGTCGTCTTATTTGACTTAGCCCCCCGGAGCGTCCGCTGGACGTGTCCCCTAATTTCGAAAAAGATGTTCGGTTCTTTAGGAATAAGTCCTGTTGCCATCCGATCACCCATCTTTGAAATATGAACCAATCCAAAGGACCAGAGTCAGTAAATCCCTTCCTACACCAGCCAACACCGTACCACTTCTCCTCGTAGACTGCCAATTTTTGCTTACAATAAACCTAACGCGTTCACCGCTCGTGTCGAATGTAATGAAAACCAAACTTTCCTTTCATTTTTCTTCTTAAAAACTTAACCATCCCCTACAGCTAACCTCGGGTTACTTCATGTACCATGGTAATTAATAAGCTAGTATAAATAGGGTGCCAATCTGTAGCAGAAGCTATAAAGTATCTGATATCGTGAAAAAGAGCGATTATCAACTTATCAGGTTGGTGAATTCTGCTTTAGTTTAGTCCTTCCCAAATTCAGAACCAGAAAGAAGAATCTCAAAGTTTGAAAAGAAAAGGTTCGCAAAGACAATGATTCGCCTTTTACCAAGACTGTTCACAACTTTTTAATCTTGTTTCTGCGTTGATCCCGGTTCAGATCACCTTCATCTACAGCTTCACCTTTCCATTCCTTTGTTTTCTTCTAACTGGCTTGATTTTCTGATTTGCTCGAGTTTGCTTTTTTTTTTTTTTGTTTTTTTCACTTCACTTCGGCTTTTGTTTCATCGGAGTTAACGTTCGTGGATTTCCCGGAATTAATTTAACGTGTCAGATCACGATGATAAATATTTAGAATTGTATCCATTTCGAGAAATAATTGTGATTTCTCTTTTGAGCTAACAGAAAGAAGAAGACATGGGAAGCGAGTCATTCGAGGAGGCCATTGCAGCTTTGTCAAAGCTTCTCAGGTATTACAGTCCTGTCTTTCTAACTTCTCTCTTTCCGTTCCGGACCTTAAAAACAGAAAAAGCCAAGGATTTCTGGGACGGTAATTGCGCCATAACTGCCGTCCTTATCCGTCATTTTCACCGTTTTATCGAACATGGTAAACCGTGTTTTGCAGTTACGTTGTCCGAAAGTGGGGCCAAGGTTTGGAACAAAACTGGGACCCACAACCACCACTGTACTGTAACTCTGTAACGGTTTGGCTAATGTTGGCCTCCTCGGTTGCAGTGACAAAGCTGATCTCGAAAGCGTCGCCGCAGCAAAAATCAAGCAGATAACGGCCGAGTTAGAGGCTGCTGCCGACCCCAATCAGTTCGACCCGGTCAAGCGAATCGAAACCGGTTTCCTTCACTTCAAGAAGGAGAAATATGAGTACGTTTATAAATTTACTAGCACCTGTTATCTACCAAAACGAAATTAAAAAAGGACAGAGTTATGGAACAGTGGAAGTTTCTCCTCTTCTGTCAGATCGTGGAATCTGCCGTATCGTTTTGGCTTCTTCTTGTTTTGATATAACCTTTTATTTAAAGTACCGTAACTGCCTTGCCCTTTTTCTTTTTTTTTTTCATGTGGCCATTTGTCTTTCCAACTCGAGGAAGCGTCATTAATGGCTTTCTGCAGGAGATTAAAAATTGGATTGTCATAACTATTTTAAATTAAAAAGAAAGTGGATTTGGAATAGGTCACAGCAACTGAATTGGCTGTTGCAGAAAAGGGAAAGAGTATGTCATTGATGTGGGAAATTGGCTGGCTATAAATATCTATATTTTTTAATTATTAGCTTAATTGGAATTGTCTTGCCCTCTTTTTTTTTTTTCCAGGAAAAATCCTGATCTGTACGGTGAACTTGCCAAAGGCCAAAGCCCCAAGGTTCGTCCTGCTATTGTTATCATGCACGGTCGACCTATTTTTTGTGTCTGTTCGGAGTCCTTTTTTTTTTCTTTTGGTTTCTTATTTTGGATATTTGCAGTTTTTGAATTACTGAACTGGTAAAAGAATTGACCAACCTGTTCAGACAAGATTTGGACTTACTTTACACGGTGAAAATTAAGCTAATTAGTTGAATGTGGCAACTGCTAGATGTTTACCAGAGAATTGTATTTGTTAATGGAATTGTTTCATTTTCCAGTACAACGCAATAAATTTGAACCGAGAATATACTCCACTAAAAACATAGACTTTTTTAGCATTTATGATTGCGGGCTTTATTTGACAAAATGGTGCGTGTACGGCCTAAGTTTGCACACCTTTTGAATGGTAGGCGAGTGGGGAGGAATGAACAGTCAACCGGTTGATTTATTTTTGCGTGTTACTGTTAGAAAGATAGTGGCTGTCTCTTTTTTGAGATGAAGAGTTTGACAAAAGTGAATTAGCAGTTGCTTTTACGACTTGTTTTGTTGTCATTTTGGGTGCTAAAGTTATGAATGAAAGTTATGGGTGGATTCAAGGAATAGGGCAATACTTTTATCTATGAATCCTTTATTCTTTCAACAATCATTACTGCTATGCAATAGGAATGGCGAGCATAGTGAGTTAAAACTCATATTTCTTTCCCCTCTAAATAAATCGTTTTTGTACAGTTTTTGGTATTTGCTTGCTCCGACTCTCGAGTCTGCCCCTCTCACATCCTGGATTTCCAACCAGGGGAGGCTTTTATGGTCCGAAACATTGCCAACATGGTCCCACCCTATGACAAGGTTCGCCTCCGTTACATTATTTATTCTTCACGGGGTTTGGCGTTTCATGCCGCCCTTCAGTTGATAGGAATCAGTAATATTTTCACCAGTTTGCTATTAATTTTTTTTAATGTATTTTATATTAACTTGATTTGCTTTGTTTACCGCAGACAAAATACTCCGGAGTTGGTGCGGCCATTGAATATGCAGTCCTGCATCTGAAGGTGAATATAGTAGTATAATTTGACTTTATAAGCACGATTTGCTATTACCCTTTTTTTAATGATAGAGCATGGATAATGTTTAGTGGATGTTGACTCTTTGGTGGGGGCAACGTGATCTCTAGTCACTAGGCATGCTCTAACTCTCTATGAAGTCTCAAGTGCTTACCGACCAACTTCAAAGAGATGCACTGATTCCTTGTGCTTTCTATATGTCAATCACCTTGAATTTGCATCAATTGCAGGCTTCAAGAATCGGTGTAGTAATTGCTGATGTATCGGTTCAACTTTTGAATTAATTAATTACAAACGGATTGAAATATGGAACAGTGCAATAATGAATGGTGAATTCAGTATATATATGTTGGTATATACTTTGTTAAGTGGTGTGAGCTGCTCTTCTGCTTTCTTTCAACGTTAAAGTAGCTTTCTTATATTTCCCCTTTTGGAATTGGATGTGTAAGAGAATGTTTGGTGTGCAGGTGGAGAACATTGTGGTTATTGGACACAGCTGCTGTGGAGGTATCAAAGGGCTCATGTCTATCCCAGATGATGGGACCACTGCTAGGTAAGACTTTTATCATTGTGGCATTAAAGCAAAGCACATATTTAAAACTCTGCTTAAATCTTGCAAGTGCAGCATATACTTTATATTAAGGAACAGATTAAAATAATCAAAAGGCGTTTCAGTATTTTTGACCTTTCAGTCTCAGAATCTCAATAGTTCCCATGTGATATTACAGTATACTCTTTATCGTGAATTATCAGTAACTAATATATAAGTTGATAAGTGCGAAGCACCACATTCTTGGAGGCATCTCTAAAGGCGAATAAAGCCAGGGGGAACAACTTTTGAACTTTGAACTTTGAACTTTCATCTTGCTTTTGGAATCCGGAACATACCAGTGTAAAAATGTGGATTCCACATCATTCCTTTACCAACCAGGGTCTTATACATCCTGCCAATTTAAGACGTTATGGGGTTTATGTATTCATATATGTAGACTTATTTAAATGGCTGCTTGTCTATAGCTTTTAATGCCCAGTATTCTCTAATTTCTTTAACAGAAGATGTTTAGGACCTTTGTCTCTAAATATGGACCAACAGTTTTCTTGTGCCAGTGCCATGGACTTTTAAGTTTTAGGCCTGATTTTTGGGCCCCCTTCTCTCCTCCTTTTATAGAAGGATGCCTAAACAGATTTAAGACAAATGAAGATTTATATTTCATTATTATTTATGTTTGACTTTTGAACTTTGCAGTGATTTCATTGAACAATGGGTTAGCATCTGCGCACCCGCAAAGACTAAGGTGAAATCAGAATGTAATGAGCTAAGTTTCTCGGAGCAATGCACCAACTGCGAGAAGGTAACTTACATGTCTACCATCATTAACTTTTTTTTGGCACTCTTAAACAATAATGATCAGATCGTTTATTTTTCCTTTAACGTTTGATATTCTTGATAATGTTTGTGTTCTTAAATTAATGCAGGAAGCTGTGAATGTATCTCTGGGCAACCTATTGACATATCCATTTGTGAGAGATGCAGTGGTGAAGAAAAGCCTTGTTTTGAAGGGCGCACATTATGATTTTGTGGATGGAAAGTTCGATCTCTGGAATCTCGACTTCAACATTACACCCACCTTAGCTGTATGAGCAATTTGCAGTTTCCCCATTATAGTAAAAGCTCATCTTGGTTGCTTTCCTTGCGTGCTGCTTGTATATTTCCTTATGAATACCATTCCCAGAGAATAAAAACAGTGGACGGCTCATCCCTTGGTCCACTTTGTCTTTAATTTCCTCCGTCAAAGGCGAAAGAAAAATGAATTCCCCTTCTGTACTCCAAAAAGAAAATGTTGGGTTAAAGAGTTGGGTTAGCCCAACAAGTTGTTTCTTTCTTCCGAAGCATAATAGAATGTTTTCTCCCATTTTTGTATTGATCAAGTTAATGAAGACACGGCATGAGAATGAGTATTGCATTACTGTTACTATTTTCTTTGGATAACTGAGCTTTTTCTCGACTTTGTATTTGTTATTCTTGAAGAATAAAGGTACATCTACATATGCGTACGTGAATGAGAATCTTGCTTCTAACCTTCGAAGGAACATTTTGAAACAGGGAAAAAAACAGAAAATTATGAAACAGATCCTCCCTAGATCATTGACTCTACTTGTGATTCACTACCTTGGTGGCCGCACTTAAAAGCCTATTTTGGAAGACTAATTGCCAAAATAAAAAGTATATAATTATAAATGATGTCTTAATTTCATGGCATTAGGCCAAATTAATTACATTCTTTATTTTCATTCCTTAGATATATAGCGTGTTTCATCTTGAAAAGAAGTGAATTATTAAAGGAGAACACCTTTTATAGTTGTAGGGTACTATCCCAACATCATTAACATGTTTAATGGATAGATACTTAATACACACACGGGTGGTTTGGAGGCTCCTTTGGTCCTTCAAAAGAGAAAGAGGAAAGTGACTTGCCTCTTTTCTCACTTCTCAGTACGGGAACATGTAATTTTTGCTTCAAATTTATAATCTGACACAAGCTTGCTGACATTAATTAGTCTCTTGTAATCTTGTCGATCCGGATCATTGAAGCAATAATACTCACTACCAAAAAAATCCAGTTTTATAGACTGATTTTTTCGTTGGTAATATCAATTATCAACGAAAAAATTTGTCGTTAGTCAATTGAAAATACCATTGTGAGTAATAAGTTTTTATGGGTATTTTAAAATTCTATCAAAAATATCACTGACGAAAAGTTTTGTTAGTATTTTCGTTGATAAAAAATTTGATCCGTTGATTGAAAAATTTATAGGTGGTGTCAAATATCCATCGGTAATTTTCATCGAGAAAGGTGCCAATCAAAAAATTTACTGTCGGTACATCTATCGGTAATATACCAATGGATCTAGCGATCGAAAAATGTGTTGGTATTTTATTGACGAATTTCTGATTGAATTCGCAACAAAATTAGCGACTAAAATTTTTGACTTGTTTTGTCGTAAGGGGTATTATTTTGTCCATAATAAAGCAAATTACATTAGTAAAAAAAATAAATATGTCGATATTGAAAGAATTTTGTCTATAATAATTAATTATATATATTTTTAATATTTTTGTATTTTTTACATTGACTAATAATATTAATATATTTAAAGTAATAATTTTGTTTGCAAAATTACTCCAAATGAATTATATAATGAAAAAATCACCCCAAATATTTTGAAAATTAAAAAGAAATGTTCAAAGTCTATGGAAAACATTAATATAAAAAGTCTGTAGCACAATGAAAAGGAATTACGATTGTCCATTAGCCAAATCATGAGGAAGGGGAGATTGCTGTTGTGACTGAGGATGAGACTGCTGTGATGATGAAGACCCACCAATTGGATCCGGATGCCTCTCAAGGATAACCTTCATGATGGACTTAATATCAGACACATCAGTCTTCAACTCCTTCACGTCGGTCTTTATTTCTTAATAGCCTTCTGGTCCAGATCATGAAACTCATGTAATAGCAGTAGAAGGCATAAGACCATAGGCAAACTCAAATGTCACAGCTAGAGCAAATAGTAAAGCAGGTTGCATTTTGGTGCTAAACCTGTATACATGGGTCGGAGTGGTTTACGGCCTTCCAATTGCCTCAGACCATGTCATTGGATCGAACTTCGGTTAAGATGATGGATCATCACCGTACTTCTACAATATAGCAGATGTATATGATTCTTACAAATAGAAAAGAAAATGACATTATATATTAATGAAATTGTTAAGGAACATATACACATATTCAATAATATAGTTAAAAAAAATTGACTCATATCTCTTACTTACACTATTAGTCTTCAACTTGTTGTTGACAAACTCTTCGTTACCTTTTTGTCCTTTATGAGTGTGCTTGAAAACCTGGGAGAATGTCGTCGATCTTTGTAGTATCTCAAACTACAGTCTTGATAAGAAAAAAAAAACACATGATCACTAATATGCATGTTTTCGCTATTTTCAACAAGACAATGACAACATGTTTTAAAATTGTAAAACAACGACAATACATAACACACTTAGATGACAAAAAAGGCATCATCAAAACAAATACATGGCTTCGCTTCGCAGTCGTCAATAACATAATGACAACATGAAAATGCTCCAATTATTGACTTTACGAGTTAAGAATACATACCATTTTCTTCTGATGTAAAGCAAAAGGTAAAGAACCTCTTGTGTGCTTTGCTATGCTACTGTCTTTCTCTATCAAGTGACTTTGCTAGGCCTTCATGGGTTGACGTTGCCACTCGAGCATGGCCCAAACATTATTGACTAGTTGGTCCCAAACCTCTATAGTGATCTAGGGGTGTGCCTTCCTTTTAGTCAAGAGGAGATCATGACGAGTGCCCGCGTCCCTCTGGCCTTTCTTGCTCTCGTCTACTAACAGATCTCTCATATATTACAGACCATCAAAGAATCAGTATCAACCCACGTAAAAGACTCCTACATAAGTAATAAATATTTATATCAGTATTGTTAAAGGAAACTTGGATAAATATAAAATAATAATAAGGTACCTCAAATTTATGCCACATGGCATTTTGCACAACAGTAGGAATCAACCTCCATGTTGGCCAGGGCCCATTAAAATGACTCTTGATTATTCTCGTGATGATTGGAGTCACATCAGTCTCCACAAAAGTACTACAAAATTAATACATCTTTATCAAGACACATTAATGAAATTACTACATAAAATGAAATAAGCTAATAGCTGTAAATTACCTTTTTTTGACAAGATGAAAAAGTTTTCGTCAGTCTGAATTGGTAGGAGTGGGCAAGCTTACACTAGGCCTAGGACCCTAGACTGGGATACAAAGTTTGACACACTTGTGGTTGTAGTTGGAGTTGGCGGCATTTCCTTTGGATTAAATGGAGTAGTTGCTAGTGTGGACATAGGAGTGGACATCGATGGTATCAATAACTGAGGTGGCATCGACGATCGCATAGTAGGTGGTGAAGACTAAAGAGGTGGAATCGGAGGTTGCATAGCTGAATTGCCTATGCCACTCAACCGTGCTCGAGGACCAGTGGTAGTTTTATATTTAACCATGACTATGCAAAAATTTGTCATCACATTATTGACTAACCATTGTTAATAACTAACAATAAACGTAATCCATAATCATTAATATTAAGTACTATCAATAAATGTAATCCCATGATCACTAGAAAGATGTTAATAATGGTTGATGTTGAAACAAAATGAAATATATAAATAAATTAGCATAAAAAAGTACATCATGTCAACATCTTTACATGATCTAAATATATATATTAAAAAAACATCAACCCTCAAACATCATCTAAACATGCAAACTCATTTTCATCGCTCTCATCTTTAGGATCATTACTTTCATTACCATCGTCTTTTTTTGCATCTACCTTTATCTCTTCATCTTTTCCTTTAAGTCTTTCATCGTCATCATCTTTTTCACTATGTTCAACTTTAACAAACATATTAATCTTTTCATATTCACTACAAACAAGAATTGTATTATTGTCAAGGTCATTTGAAGGAGCGTTAAATCATGTATTGGGATTGTTTTCATCTTTTTAATACACCATTTCATTATTCAGAATATTAAATCGACTTTGACCTTTGTTTTGAACATTGCCCACCAATCAATCGTGTATCAAGATTGTCTTCATCAAATGAGCCTTTTTCATCAAATTTTCTACAAAATCAATAAGAGAAATTAGCAATAACTACCCTTAAAGTAATTTAAAATAAAATAACATACAATTTAACTAAAATAACTTAAATTAACTATTCAGTATGGAATCAAACTTAAACTAGAAAAATACTTAAAATGTTACAATTCGAATCTAAAATCTCGAAAATCTAACTACTTAAGCCCATAAAATATGCCAAAATAACTCTACATAATAGAGTTATCGGAGGGCTACGGGCTATTGGCACCAGATTTAACTTCGGACGAGGGGCGAGGGTAGTCAGCTGGCACGGGATGCAAGAGGGGAGAGAAGTAGGGGTGGTTGCCTCCAACTACACATCGATCGGCGCGAGTGAATAGGGGAGGCTCTCGATCACAAGAGGAAAGTATGGGCAGGGGTTGTCGGCTCAGTATAGTTTGATAGAACTTGAGTCTACGATGGAGAATGTCAGACCAGGGGAGGGAGTTGTCCATCGATGTTGGAGAGGGAGGGCTGAGAGTGGTTGGTAGGGAGGTGGATCTGGGGGAAGAGAAGGGGAGAAGGAGAAATGCTGGAAAAGAAAACCCTAAGCATTTTATTTAGATTTACTAATTTTTCATCAGTAACACTAAACCATAATATTGACGAAAATTTCATTGGCAAACTCTGCAAAATGAACTATGAGTACACTGACTAAACTTTCATCAGTAATTTCATTGTTATAATCGTAGTGTGGTTGACGGAATATCCGTCGACAACTTCCATTGGTATAATCGGTTAGTATGGTCATTCTCGACCAAAGTGTTCAATCAGTATTTTTCCTGCCTTCCAAATATAATTGCTGCCCACACATTATTGACTGAAGTACATTTGCCTGCAAATTCGATCAGTAATCCGTTGGTGCTATCTTGACCTCTTTTCTGTCGGTAAGACATCGGTA